AGCAAATTGTTGACAGAAAAAATTATTTTAAACGAAGTGTTTGTAAATAATACCCTCTGAGTATATTCTAGAAATTCTTACAGCGGTTGTGATAAAAAAAAATTAGATATTGAAAAATTTTTGAGAAGTTTTGAAGCTGGTTATTATTGGAAATATTGTTTGGGGCATACCAGGAAAATGACATTTTGAAGTTCAATTAAATTTTTTAACTATACAAAACAGTCAATGANAACTTTAAAGTATTGTCAATTTAAACGCATATTAACTAAAACTTTAATAGGGAGTAACATGCTCCAGAAGCAAATCCGGCGGCTAATTTGTATCATATGCAAAGTTTTAAATTGTGCTCTTTAATTTAAGCTTAATTTTATTTCAATAGAAATTTTACAGATGTGTACTTAATTTGTCCATTTCTTGATAAACTTAGTAACTAATATTGAAACTAGATTGTAATCAAATTATAATTTCCAACGCAGAACGCAGCAAACCATCTTTTCTTATTTAGTTCCGTTTCTGCTGCATACAACTCCATACCCAATATCTTATTCAGAAGAGAGGGGCGTTTTAAGGAAACTGTTGAAAAATAGAATCAACAGCAATGGGCAATGTATGCAATTACCGAGTAGCAATATTGAAATGAGATTTTTCTTAATAATACAAGGGAGTAATTCACCGTCTTACAATAACTATATTCAAAGTTTAATTAAGGGTTATTTTTACGTATAAAGTGAATACAAAAATATCTTATAAAATATAAAAATATTTTTTTTTGAACTTTAAATAGTAGGGTACACAACTTGTTTGAATGATGAGTTTAGATATGTTGACCACAATTATGTTAATTTTAATGCAGACCTAAATGTTTTAAAAAATAATTATTTTCATCAGTCAACATAGTGATACACTTGCATTAGAAATAATTCTTTTAATAAATTATAATTCTTTTTTAATTATCTTAATTCTTTTAATTAATTTCTTTTTTTTTCTTCTTCTTTTTAACAGTTTACTTAGTAGTTCACTTTGCATAAAATTAAATTATTCTAAACATTACACTAAAAGATGAAGAAAACCAAACTGATACTTTCCAAAATAAAAATATTTCCTCTTTCTAAAAAAAAAAGAATTAAAAAAAAATATGGAAAAATAAATGTGGGAAAAGGGGATGGATTTTTTTTATCACATAAAGTACCACAGAAGTATATTTTAAAATATATTAAGTATTATGTTCTTGAATGAAAGTAAAAAACAAAATAAGAGATAAATATTTTGAACAACCTGACTGTATATTAAATATTTTAATTAAAATAATCGTATGGGGTCTAAAATGATTTAATGTAAAACAAACGCAATATAACTCGAAATAAGATTTAACATTCCGTTGGGATTAAGTTCAATATTATTTTAACCTTAGTACATTGATATTTTGTGAATTATAAGAGATTTTATGAATGTTAAATCTTAAAATGGATTTTTTTAATTGTTTTTTTAAGCTACCAAAAGTTAGAAAGAAAGCTCAAAAAAGTAATAAATTTTTTGAAGCTCTTGGCCAAATTTCTCATTTTGTAATAGTATTGTTGTACTTAAAAAAACATGATTTAAAAAAAATAGAAATAAGTAATAGCAATTGAAAAAAAAAACTGAAAATAAGCATGGATGGATGATGAAATACGGTACGTCAAGATTAATGATTAAAATGCTAGATTCGAAAATCGCAAGTCATTTTAATACCTGATTAAAATTATGAGGATTTTCGAAACTCTGTGAAAAAGTCTGGCAAGCAACTGCTGAGTGAGCAATAAAATATCTCTTAGATTTACGAGAAATTTGGCTGATTTATGTGCACGATTCTAGTGTCATATTAAAAATATCGGTATTTCAAAACCCTTCGGAAATGCGTAGTTCGGAAAGCAAGCAATCGAAAAATATCTTGAATTTATGATTATAATTGATACAAAGCACGACAAAGGTGATTACTATTGGCATTGCATGACTGGAAAGACGTGAGTCGTCATATTATCATATTTCAAAGATCGGGATCTTAAGAAACACGTGGAAATTTAACAATGACCTCCAAAAAAGCGATCGAAAAGTTACTTGGATTAACTATGAAATTGACTCAAATAAAGCGCTTTAAAAGAAGTGAATAAAAAACTCAATTCTATAACTTGTTTATCCTTAAGGTGAGTCTATAAAAATAACAATGATACTAAATACAATTTTTTATAATTCATCACTATTCAAGAGTTGATGAAAACTTATGCTTTAATTTTTCTGTTATTAAATAGTAAATCATTTACATTTATTTTTTTTTAAAAAATGAAGGAATAATTAACCGAAGAAATCAGTCATCAAAGTTTAGTTTATCGAGAATTTGGCTTGACAGAAATATCTTTAGTTTTGATTACTTATTGGAAATATAATAGAAATATTGAAGAAAATTTCCATCGGATAAAGTACAACTTGGGATCTAAACCACTTTGGTCTGTATTCTGTCACAATAAACTTTGTCTAAAACACACACTGAGTAAAGCATATTTCTGTCGAAGATTTTTAAAGTTCCACCATACTGAATTTTAAATAAGAAAAATTTAAATTGTGAAAGCATAAGAACAGAGAGGCATTTAATTTACTAACCAAAATAAAAATATTAAAAAATTCAGGAGTGTTTTTTTCAGCAATTTGCACTCATTTGTGCTTCAAAAAACAGTTATAATTTTTAATGAATTATAATTGACATTTATTCATTTCAAATTTTATGTAATTCAAATATTTTTTCAGGGGTAGAAATATTTTTTAAGCACTAATATGGGTTATTTTACAGGACCCTAAATTCACAATTTCATTATTAGGAAGACAAATTAATTAGCTCTGAATTACATTTAACTAAAGGAAACCACACACATTTTAAACAATTAATCAGATAAATATGTTTGTAAATAATTTTTTCGAAGAAAATTCTTTATTCTAGTTGATAATTTAGTGTCATTTTTTTCAGTCTATATTATGTGAAGTAGTTGATCTTTTACGTTTATACCTTATTGCAATACAGAGCATTCCAGATTCTATGTCCTATAGCGTATAGTTTTTGTCCAAAGCCTAAAACTGTTTTAGATGGAAAATTATTTTGACCCAATCAATCACACTATATAAAGTCTTACAATAATCTCGTCATTAATTATGCGGCTTCTTAGATTGTGAGAAATTTTATTTCTTGTAGCACTCCACTTTCTGATGGAGAACATAATTGAAAATCTTTTAATTTTTAAATATACTATGTAATAAACCTGCAAAATAATATGACAAAATAAGCATTTGATTACAATTAAGGATATGAACATGAAAACATGGAAAGAACATAGAAAATAATTAGCTATGGTAAAATTCTATTTCTACTATTTTGAACATTCTACACTTATTTATTTGCTGCCTATCTAACATTGAAAACTTGTGTCCAATTGTGAATTGCAGACAAACGGTGTAATAGTGCCTGATTATACATTCAGAGAATGTAGAAAATGCAACATACTATGTGTATATATTTTTAAATTGTATGTAAAAGAGTACGGAAACTTTTGTTTTGGACAGAGTTTAGTTTAAATTTCTTTGATTTTTGCTATTATATAGTTTTTTCATTTAAATTTAATAACCAGAAAGATCAATCTAATGATTGATCTTTTTTGGCAAGATGGTCTATATAGCTATATATTTATTTTATCACCAGCCAAAATTATTTTGAATTTACGACTACCTATGTTATGTTCCACTCTGAAGCCTTGTAATTTTGAACCCGTTCGAGAAGTCAAGGAGCCTGGAGTATTTGGGAAAATTTTCTTTTGCGGAGGACAGGACATTTTTGATAGAACTAACCTACATTCGCGTTACATGGAGAGTAAAACCTCCCACAGTTAGCCTGTCTGCATGGGGTCTCTAATCTATGATGCATCTACAACTGGGGATACTTTTTATCAGCACTGTTGTCGTTGCGAGCTGATTGCGTCATTCATATCGGCCAGACATCACGGGGATTCGAACCCAGGTCTCCTCATTGGGAGGCGAGAGATCTATCACATGATTCACCATGGCTCTTATATAGTATGCCTCAAGTTTAAAAGTAAGTTTAGGCTTTTTATAGTGAAAAAGCTTTGAAAGGCATGTATAAGTTTAGTTTGCAAGAAACTTTAAATAATAGAATAGCTATTGTTCAAATAAAGGATTTTATTTAAGCTACAACAAATATCAGACATAATTCGGTTCCAACTAAATAACTTTTCTTTTTCTTTAGCAATTCAGCTTAATAGGCTTTGAAAGATTTGCAGAAGACCACATTATTAAAAACGATGCTTTGTAATCACTGTCTTTCATATATATTTTCACAATCTCTGTAGAAGAAGATACTGAGATTGGGTGCTGCAAATTAATATCTAGGAGAGGAAAACTGAAAAATACCACCTAAATTTAAAAAAATCTCCATACTGAGGTAGGTGAGGTTAAAAATTTTAAAGCGTGATTGATTGCCAGATGACACTAGAAAGTATTTTAAATGGTCACTTTTCAACTCCTCTTTGTTTCCTCAGTCAATCAAACAGGTTTCGATGTTTATTACCCACCTTTCTTTGATAGCATTATTTTTACCCCACTGAAATATTTGCATCCCCAGTATAAATACTTCTTTTACTTCATTGTTAAAAGAATTTTTAAATATATGTTTCAATTTCATAAATTATGAAGCATACAGTATTTATGTAACTTTTAATAATGTGCTTAGATTCTAATTTTAATTTAATTACTTGAAAAATTCGATTAAAGTCAAAGGGGCTTGGATGAATAAAAATTTACTGGAAATGTTTTTTTCTTTTTTTAAATAACCATAGTCAGCATTTTGAATGCAACATTCCTAGTTCCTTTCCTTCAAGGTTTATACTTCCTTTAAATGTATTTTTCATTTCATCACTATAAAGTGCTAAATCTTTTTAAAAAATGAAGAAAAGCAATACGCTTTGTTATTTCAGTATAAAAAGTTTATTTAACTTATTAACTAAGTAATCATCTAATGCATAACTTTATCTTATAAATATCTTTAAATATAAAATATCTAGGTATAAAAATTCAAAAATAAGAAAATCTTGTTTTCACGTCAGCTTATTGCTCTTCTTTATGGCAGTGGGTTTTGTAGATTTCTTTTGCGCATTCCTGAAAAGGAAAAAAATTATAGATAAGTTTCTTTAGAATATCTTACTGTTTTCGATACATGAAAAAACATGTAAAAATTATTTTTTATTTATAATACGCATTGTTTTTAACTGTCTCGAATTACACAACTTGTATTACCTTAGATTTTTTTTATGTCCTCTCTTTTAAAATCACAGGGTATTCTCCTCCTTGCTGATCTATGAAGAGCACGTGTTACTTTATTTATTATTTTTGAGAGCTTAGTCTATTTATAAGATCCCCACTGTTAATTTTTTTCTTCTTAAATTTATTTTCCAAACTTGCATTTTAGCATGTTCCTTTTATGTTATTTCTTTGAAAATCATTGTATCATCTCCTATTTGCTGCTTTATGTGAAGGGCATGTACACTCTATAACAAGAAAATCGACGCACCAAAAACGCACTAAGACACGCAAAATCGACGCTCGATCAGGCTTGAATGATGCCGACTGGGGACGTATAGTCTTTAGCGACGAATCCCGCTTCCAACTGTGTCCTGACGATCATCGAAGACGTGTTTGGAGACGCACAGGGCAGAGGGGGGATCGTGCCTTCATTATTGCGCGCCACACCGGCCCTCAACAAGGCATTATGGTCTGGGGTGCCATTTCCTTTGACAGCCGGACCCCTTTGGTCGTCATTAGAGGTACACTTACTGCACAGCTGTACGTCGACGACATCATAAGACCTGCATTGCTACCGTTCCTTTTGCAGCGCCCTAGAATGGTTTTTCAGCGGGACAATGCCAGACCACATGCAGCATGTGTTGCTATGAACTGTCTGCAAGCTGGTCAAACTCCTCCTTGGCCTGCCAGATCACCAGATCTCTCTCCCATCGAGCATGTCTGGGATATGATGGGAAGGCGATGGCATCTGGTACGGAATTTTGATAACCTCGTTTGACAACTGGATCGAATTTGGCAGGAAATACCGCAAGAGACCACCCAGGTGCTTTATCGGTCTATGCCATGCCGTGTGGCAGCTTGTATCCAGGCTAGAGGCGGATCAACACCTTATTGAACTTGTTACTGTAACTCTGCAATAAATTATTAAACGTGTTGCAGTATTTTTCTCAAAACAGCATCGATGGGCAGCGGGTTGTCGACTGGATCGCAGACTAANATTTTTATACAAGAGCATATATATTAATTTTGATATTGTTATGACGTACTTTACTTCACAATGCATATACTGTCTACTTAAGAAAGAAAATGCGTAAATTGTATAGTTTGTAAAAAGCCGAGAAATAAAAAAAAAAATTAAAATTTTTTTATCATTTGAATAAGGAAATAAAAAATAAATAAATAAATAAAACATTAGTTAAAATAATAAAATAATTTTTATGATTTTGAAAAATCTTGTTTTTTTTATGATGCTAAAGTTAGGAAATTGTACGCATTTATTTTAACAAACCGATGTAATAAAAAAAAAATTGAGCATTCTGGCCAGGAAGATGCTAGAGATTGAGAGGCTCTTCCGGCCGAATTCAGTTGTTAAAGGGATGGAGACGGGAAGAGAAAATTCTAAATATGCCTTTAATAATTTTTGTTTAATTTCCACAAATAAATTGATGTTGGATATGTTTGACAGTATCTTTCTATATAAGTAAAAAGCAAGTTCGCAATCCAATAACAATTTGGGATATAGAGCGGTAGGTATTTTAGTTAATTTCTGTAGTGATTTGACAGCCTTGGGGATTTTCCAAATAGAGTGCAAGGGGACAGGATTAATGACCTCACTCTCCTTGAATGAAGATGAAAGTAGTTTCATTAAGATGGATGTATGGACTACTGAGGAAAACTACTCCTAAATTTAAAAATAATAATAATTTGAAGTTAAAAAATAAAATATTTTTCGATCATGATACTCGATAAAAAAGTCCATTTTCCAATTTTAATATTTTGAAGATATATTCAAAACATATTCACTGCATTATTTTTATAAGTCACTTGTAGATTACACTGAAACCTCTTGGGATCGACCCTTCTCAGTTTCGCAGTAAAATAGTCGTTGGTGAAGGTTGCTCGTTCTTAGAGGTTACCACCATTGACTTCAAAATTGATATCGAAGGTACATGATTTTTCGAAAACTATTTTAATTTTAGTTTGAGTTAGAGCGGCCAATGTTTTCGTGCGGGAATGCCACTTCCGTTGGTATCATGAAAACACGGATCTGTGAGGGGAAATTTTTTTTTTTTTTTTTTTGACATTTTCCGCATTCAGTGCAAATGTTTGCCCCGTCACTGGGAGAGGTTTTAACGATCTCTCCAAAAGGTTTTCTTCAATACAAATTTTATATACAAAATAACGTTCCTCCCAAAAGTGGTCCTAAATAGAGGTGGTCTTTCCTGGAGGTTTAAAAATTGTTATATATATAGTGGGATCTATTTTTCCTTACCTTAAACTCATGGAATTTTTCCTTGTCTTCAGGTGCAAACTGAAAAAAGAAATGCAAAGAAAATTTAATAATGTTAAAAGTAATTTTTATTTGATACTTTTGATACTTACTTAAAATATATGATAATTTTATTGCTTATTACAATTCTTAATACTATTCAGTTTCAAGAAGGAATGTCAGAAAATATTGCTTTAATTTGAAATGTTTCATTTTACTTAACCATAGAGAATTTTTACTTTGGTGTCAGAGCATGTAAAAAGTCGACAAATATTTCTTCAAAGCACAGCGAAATGGCAGCACTTTTCTATTAAATGCATACAGTGCCACGCTGCGGTAATAAGCTTAACTAGTAAGCGTAGGATAAGTTTATAATCTTTTTTATTTTCAATTGAATACATGAAATAAATTTGAAGCGTTTGGTTATTTTGTAAGATTTTTATTTCCATGAAATGCTTACATTTTTTCTTTTTATAAAAGGCATTGAGTGTTAATGAAACAAAGTATACTGTTTTTTTTCGTAGAACCTAAACTTTATTTCAATAGTTTAATTTCTCCCTATTTTTTAAAAAAACTTATTTCTTTGTTGAAAAATTCAGAAAAAATATGTTTTATGTGTGACGTGCCCCCTTAATCATTTTATACTAATAGAAGAATAAAAATGAATATGTGTTATTAATGAAAATTTGCTACTTATATGCTTTTCGATGTACTATCAACATAAATTTTTATTTTTCAATGGTAGAATTTAACATGGAACAAGATCAAGGGAAATAACAAAAATATGACTGTTTCATTAAATTATGGGGTGTCAATTCTTTGAATCCAGACCCAGAGCAAAAACTAACCTTTTCTTTGATGTACTGTTTGTGAGACTTAAAACAGTGGAAAGTTCGAAAAATAAGGTATATAAACGTCACACTTGTCCTTTATTATTCATTCAGGATATTTTTATATTATATTTAGTTTGGAAGAATTATTTCCTAAGGGAAAGTTAACTTTTATATTGAGTTCAACTTAGGGTTAAATTTATTTTTGAATATGAAAATGTTACATTTTATTACTTATATAAAATTTCAACATAGAAGTATGCATATAAAAAAGAACAACTTACTAGCTTTTTGTGTTCATCTGTTACTACACAATCATAAAGCTGAAAACAAAAAATAATTTTTATAAGAAACAGAACATATTACATATAATTTATGTGATCGCTTAGAGCAATTTTTCATATATTGAATAAAACATATGTTAAATAGCTATCAAACCTTTTTTGAAAAGAATGTTAGAGATAAAACTCAAATATTCCTGTCAGATCTTTTTACGTCACTGGTAGAAGGCAGACAGCCTCACCGTTACAACTGGAATGCATATTAGCTTTAAAGTTTTGTAAATTTAAAAGTAAATTAACTGAAACTTTAATAGGGCATAATTTACCCCTGAAGCAAATCTGGCTGATAATTTGTACCACATCAAAAGTTTTTCACAGTGCTCTCTAATTAAAACTTAATTTTATTTCAGTAGAAATTTTACAGATGTGTGCTAAATTTGTTAGTAGCTCCATCTCTTGAAAAACTTAGTAACTAATATTGAAACTAGGTTGTAATAAAAACGTAAATTCCAATGCGGTATGCAGCAAACTCTTCTTATTTAATTCCGTTTCTGCTCTCCATAGTTAATCTCTTACACAGGAGAGAGGGGCGTTTTAAAGAAACTGCTGAAGAATAGAATCGATGCTGGAAATAGGTCAATTGTTAGTAAATTCTTATAGGGTCAGACAGATTCTTAAATTTTTTCACTGCAGTGTCTTCAAATTAAAATTGTGTTCTCAAGGAAATGTTCAGGCAAGCTGAATTTTATGCTTCTTATGATGCTTGACATTACTGATTGATTCAGTCTATATTTTTACTTTAACTCTGGAATACCCATTTTTATCTACTTCGCAACAATGTTTTTTTTTCTAACCTTCTTCTTTAGTTTTTATGTATTGTACCCTGTTTATGATAGGAAAAAAGGATATAAAACTGTTATGTTTAAGACACTGAAATTCAAAATTTGTATGTTGCGTATTTTTTTGCGAAGCGATCCAAAAAAAAATTTACAAAAATAGTTACAGAGGTTAGAGAAGCAGAGGAGGGTCACTTAAAAAGTAACAACAGCCCACCGTGTCCCGCAACAACTTGTTGTAAGTGTCAGGTGGGTCATGGAGATAAAGGTTCCACGATTTCATGGCCAATAGCATGATTGAAGTCAGCATTACGTGCAAGCCGTCTCTGAGAATCAAAGTTCAGTCATCCATCAAGCCTCTTAGTAATAGTAAAATATAATTAGTAATACAGAGAAAAAAGAAAAAAAATACTCGCNTTTAAAAAATGCATTAAAATGCAAAATGCGCCCCAAAATTTAAAGAAAAATGCCCTATAAATCTAAAAAAATGCTCTAAAAGACAAAAAATGTCCAAAAATGCAAAAAAATGCAAATGTCATCAAAATCCGGGCCTTAGTAATTAGTAATACAGAAAAAATAAAATTAAATACACGCTGCTTAAAAAAATACATTTGCATTTTTCTGCCATTATTTGCACTTTTGAAGGAAATATTTTCTGTGCTGTGTTGAAAAAATTTTATTTACTATTGTAAACAAAAATACCTTTGTAAGTATCTAACAACCCCTCCGAATTCTATTTAAACCTTTTATAAATATTTATAGGTTTAAATTATCAATGGATTGGGTTCGAATTTATTTTAAATTTGATCAATATAGTTCTGCTGTTTTCAATGACACTTTTGTAAGCCAAGCTAACCAGCCAGTTGCCATGCGAATTAGGTCACGAAGAGGTGCCAATCATTTGACACGAGAAAGCAGCTTCGGTGAAAATACGACTTAGATCAAAATCCCTCGGGTATATGGCAGCACAGTAGCGGCTTTGAAGTTTGAACCCCGGTCCCTCCGGACCTACTCTCTGAAAAATGGGTGACACTGGTTCCTTAATTTTGAAAACAATAATAGAAATAAATACTGAAACGCCAATTTTGCTACTGTTTAAAATGTAATAATATACCTGGAAAGCTTGGAAGAGCTATGAATATTATAAAAATAAATTGTTACAAATTTCTGAAGAGGAATCATTGTCCTATGGAATGAAAAATAAATTACCTTTGTGGTAGTGCCTGGATACTGGCATATGTGATTCCATCGTTCTTTAATATCATCAATACCAGGCATCACTTCCTTTTTACAAGCTTCTTCAATTTCATGACTCTGTAATCGCACAAGAACCAGAATAATAATTTGAACAAAATGGTTAAAAGGTTTAAAGTTGCATTTATAATTATATTAATTATAAACCAAAATTAGCAATTATATGAAAGTTTTTAACATCAAAAATAATTCACAGGTGCAATTATTTTTCTTATTGATATCTTCTCTTAAATTTATAAAATTAACAATGACTTGACGAATTATATTAGTAAAATTAGGAATAAATTGTTAAAAAAATCAATATAAGAACAAGACGAATTCTTAAGACAAATTAATATATTAAGAGATGTTGAATAATGTATTAATGTAAGAGAGATATTTATGAATGCATTCATTGATTTTTGTATTAATTACTATCTTATTTATTTTCATCTCTAACAGTTTGTATTGGTAAAATTTTATTTTCTGAAATCATAAATACAGTTTGAAAGACTGCGATAAAACGAACACATTGTATACATTATTTGTAAGGGTCGGTACAAATCATTTCAACTACTGCAAAATTACTAATTAAAGAATTAAAATGTTTTGAATCATCACAGAAATTTTTTTATTTAGTTCTTAAAATGTGAAAATACTTTTTATTTTTGCCACATTTTATTATTACCTTTAATTGATGTTGCTAATTGAAGAAAAAAAAACTATAGAAATCTCAAAGATCTAACTCATGCCTAGACTAGCTGTAAATATTCTAAACTATGCACTATTTCAGCAATTGCCAATTTTTTCAGTTATGGTGCCCTAATTGATCAAAATTCTTTCTCCGGAACCCTGACTTTTAAACTGAAGAATACAATGTCACTTTTCAACGTATTAACCTATAAAAGACTGCCTTATTTTGAAAATACTAAGAAAATTGAAATTTTTGCATAGTTTTATCATTAATAATTTAAAATTAGGTTTTATATCCGGCAGATGAATTCACAGTCCTGGAGCTCAATCTAGAATTATGAATTTGCTTTTGGTCCATAAACATTAGATGAAAATGATTGAAATAGGCAGAATTATTGTTTTCGTCGAAATGAAAACTAAAAAGAACTGTTATAAACATGGAAATTGTTATTCGAGAAAAATATTTCTTTATTAAGAATTTAGTTTTTATTTTGGTTAGAAACGCACGATAGGAAGTACTATTGCAATATTTTATGAAAACATATCCTTTCAATAGTTAATTCAATGCATTATTGTTAGAAAAATTATGCTTTTTCCGAAAAAACGTGCTAATTCATTTTTATTGGCATTTTACTTTAAATGATATCGTGAAGGCAACCAAAATATTAAGTAAATAATGCGTTTTTGATTAGATCTAAATACAATTACAGGTTTAACAACTACTAAAGAAAAACTCTGAAAAAATATCCTATTACTTAGAAACCTCTTAACTCTTCCACTTAAAATTCCGTAAAACACCACTTGAGAACCGCTACGCTATTGCCATCATGCGTTTTAAATTTAAAACGAATATCTTAAAATTAAAGTTGAGTACCAGTCAAGAAAGAAATATAAATTAAAAATTTTTACAAATAATTTCCTTACCTTTTTTGGCTTCAGTTCCTCACATTTCATATATTCATCTCGTGCTTGTTGATCACCTGTATTTTTTAAAGTAAAAATATTTATTTAGTTGTAAGTTTTATTGATTCAATATTTTACTGCTTTATTGATTATTAAATTTTTTACACCCGTACAAAAAATTGATATTTAGTAAGTTTCAATTAATTAGATTAAGGAACTCAGAACATATCTTCTATGTCATGTAAGTTTTTTACGAATTTAATTGAATTTAATTGAAATGAAGTAGGTATTAATTTTAAGGAATAGTTCTTAACGGGAATTGATTAATTAGAAAATTAATTTCTTATTCTATTGGTGTAAAGGTTTTTAACCAAAACTAATTTGCTCGGCTATCATTTTTCGAAAAGTAAGCTTTAAATATATGCAGTTCTCTTACAACAAATTTGAATAATTTAGTTTTGTAGTTTCTTAATATTCATCACAAAAAAATGCAGTTTTCATTATAATACATCTCAATGCAGGAAGCTGTTTGTTAAATTCTTATTCATTTCTTTTTGCAGTTAGAAAAAATGATCTGACGTTTTATTGCTAAACTGATTATTTAACAACTTCGATTCTCAAAAAACTCAACACTGTATCTTAAAATGACAGGAATAATTTTCAAGAATTAAAAAAAAAATAAAAACATTTTAATAATTTATTAAATGGAAACAATTTTGAAACTGAAAACATAAAGTGAACCTTTTTACTTGGAAAAAAAATTATGAAATGCTTACCACAAGCAAGGCATTTATAAAAAGCTCCAATTTTCGCCTTTTTCTCTTCTACCGTTAATTTACCAGCAAACACAGCAACCGTTGCAAAACATAAAACGAGAACTGAAAACACTTTCATTTTAACAGTTATGCTCTTAAATCTTGTAAGTAATTTTTACCAAATTAAAGTCCAGGTATTTATACTACTTCAAATCATGAAAATACGTAACTCTTTACTTCTTGCCCTTAATTTCACCTTTTAAAACTATAAAAGGAAAAGAAGAAGAAAAAAAACATCAGAAAGAGACTTAACTATAAGATTACAATTGTCATTCTTTTTTATTCCGTGACACCTATTGCAAAAGATTCAGACGATGTTTTAAAAAAGAAAATTGTAGTTACAATATCGTTTTTGAGGTTTTCCTCAATCAATTTTTCGAATAAAGATTAAAATTCAAAATTCAAAAGGTCACCTACAAAAAACTAGAATTCATAAAGCTATTATTCTCACGAAAAAACAATTTATATTCTTTACTACAATTGTTTGTAAAAGTCGTCTGCTTTTCAACACGAGATATACACGTTCTTTATGATAGTTTGCAGTTGGAGGAACAACATTGTTGAAGAACTCAGAAATGGAAGAAACTGATTAAGACACTTTTTTCTACCAATAAATTTTGATAAACACATAACGATAAATTCTATTCAAATGAAACTATCACACCCTTAAAAGTTTGAATATTCACTTAAGAAAGAAAATATTTCACTTAAAAAAAATTTTCCTCGCTCATATTCGCGACTTTTTGAGTTCTATTATATTGCATTTTTTTCCTGAGTATTTTAGACAATGGTTTGTCTAATATTTCTTTCTTTTACTAACATTTCACTACTTTTGAAATATTTTCATGCATTCTGGTGAACCACTTATACTTTTTAGCAAAATTAATGGTAGTTTTTATTTCGTTTTCTTTCTTCATTTATTAATTTAATTTAAAAATGCATGTTGTTCTGAAAGCCTTAGGGTTTTTCACGCAATTAACAAAATCAAATTATGGGATCTAATAGAAATTAAACTGTGAAATATTTCCAGAAATTTGGCATCAAATGCATACATGATATTTTAGAAATATAAATATTAGTTAAGCTTTAAGTTAAGTTGAGTTGCACGCTCTTTTTAGGTTAATTTTATTTTCTCCATATTTATTATGATTAAAAAAACTTTTTAATGCAAACTTTAAATATACAAAAAGGCCAACATTAGAAACAATATTTTATGAAATTTTCGTATGATAATTTTTAAAATTCGTCCGTAGCGAATTGGCTCTCAGAGACCGCTAACAAACCTCGCATTTTGCAGGATAACTTGTGATTGCTTTATATGTAAGGCTCTATGAATTGAGCAAAGACTCTGAAAACCACATAATTTACATCTTTTAAGTATGTAGATTTGCATGGCAAAATAAAAAATCTAAGTGAAATTGGTTGAATAGTTCCTGATAAATCGAATTTTAAATATTCGTCTTCTTCAAAATTCGATTTCTCAGGAACTATTCAACCTATTTCACTCAATTTTGTATATTACAGTGCAAAAATATATACTTTAAAATGATGTAAAAATTGTGCACCATACAATTAAAATGTTTTACTATTATCCAATAAAATGATAAAAAATAATAAATATTCACTAACATTTATTCTTTGGACCACTCTCCTGACCAAACTATGGGGACCATATTTTCCAGATTGCGGCTATGAGGCTACCTCCTCGAACCATTAAGGTTAAATCCCAAAACGTGAGGATCCAATCATGAAATCAAAAGTTACACATTGTAATCTGTTTTTTTCTTTTTCTTTTTGCATTGTACGTCTTCTGAAGATCGTTAACACCGATACTGAAACGATTCCACATAATGGAATATTTTGGAGAACGCCGATATCTATTTCTACATCGATTCTAGTGGGTCTATTTCTTCCACCATGAAGCCTCAAAATAATCTATTATCGGATTCAATACATCTTTATTTTCAGTAAAAAAGAAAAGAAAAAAAACGAGAAAAAAATCAAATTTTAAAAGTATAATGTGAAGGACGACTCCATTTTTTTTTTACGCACTGTAGTACATAACCTTATAACATGGATAGCTTCCAATCACATGTTTTCGATTGAAAACTACCTCTGAAACTAACATCTTGGGACGAGTGGGAGTGGGAAAAATAAATTTAGCAAGAATAGGCTTGAGAACAATTCGAAAAAAAAAATTCATATTATTATGTGATATTTTTATAAATTATATCCATGATGTATTCCTTAAATTGCTCGATTCTTATTAGAAAAATTTAGCTGAGCTTCGACGGTTGAAATAATTATTTGCAAAAGAAGTAAAAAGAGAGAGACAAAATATATGTTGATCTTTAATCTGGCTAAAGCCGCTAGTCAAAATCTTGAAACTTCTTCGAAATTAAATTAACCTCATCGTTTCTTTGGTGATGAAATATTAAAAACAACATATCGATCATAGAAATTCTAGATTAATTCCCTTTTTGACGAGAAGTTCCCTTTGTTTTTAAGCTTTTATTTTTATTTTAAACAAATGTTTAAAACTTTTGCCAGGAAATACGTTTAATAATCTTGTCTCAAAATTTCTCTGTCACACAGTCTATTGCTTGCAAGATTAAGGATTTTTAATCATTTTTTTTTCTATTGATCTTTTTACATCAAAAAAGGTTAAGTATTGAGCAGGAATGTGAGCAACTTCTTCATAGTTTGAATTGGTAATGTATTCATTTCGACTCTTTGGTACAAACAGTTAATGTTTACTGTTATAGTTAACAGTTTATATAGGCCACCATGTTTTTTAATTTTTACTGAAAGAGTACTGTAAAAAATACATTCAAATGCCATATTTTAATTCTTTAACTCCTCGAAACCCAGTCTAGAATTTACACTAAAAAAAAACCACTTCGAATAATTTTTTATCTAATGATCAGATTTTCAGGTTTCAGGACTCAATTTTAATGGTTTAAAAGTGTGGCCTCAAATATACTAACTAATAAATGCAGATAATATCTTAAGTTACAAAATCAGGCACAAAAACGAATTTCTTTGAATAAAGATATCTATTTTTTTCGACGGATTCAGAATATATATGGTCCCAATAATTTGGTCGGTCAGGATAGCAGTCCAAACTTTGAACCAAATTTTTTTATTTATGGTAAATACGTTTTTGTGTCTGATTTCATAACTTAAAATATCGTCTGTACTTATTAATTAGCATATTTGAGGTCACCCCTTCAAACCTTTAAGATTGAGTCTTAGAACGTAAAGATCCGATCATTAGATCAAAATTTATTCAGAGTGATTCTTTCTTTTTTTTCGCAGTGTACATTGAATTTTTACTGCAAGTTTAGAACTGAACAAAATAAATGTTGAAGGCCGAAATATTTTATTGGTATTTAATATTCTCATACTGTTCTATGAAAAAGTATGAGTCACTCTTTTTCAATATAGGAATTTATCTACAATATTTATCTTCAATTTCGCCAATGCAAACCTGAAAGAGAAAAAAGAAAGTATTTTGTTGATAGTAAAACAAATTGATGAAATAATATTTCTATGATATGCTATATTAAATGCTACTATGAATTTATATATTAAAGTTAGCAAGTTCTGCTGCTGTCTAAGGCATTCTAGTAACATCCGTTCCACCCCGTGTGGTTAATAGTGTTAAGTAAACTACATTATCCGTTTTGTTTATCGGGATATAAAATAATGGTAATCAGTTCCGAGTGCTGGCGAGCGATACTAGGCATGATGTGGAGCCAGCTAGTTTAAAAGAAAATAAATCTGTATTTTATATTCATTTTTATTTAAGAAATTTGATTGTTTCAAGTAAAGTTTGTGGAAATTACATTATTAATAACGAAAAAAAAATTTTCTATTATTAGAGATATTTTCCTTATTTATTCATTATTCAATTATCTTTTCATCAATTTATACAAATTTTAAAGTAAATCCTTATGATGTAATTTTAAATAAAAATATAATACTTTTGCAATATATGCTAAAGTCGTCAGTGGAAGTGTGAAGAACGAGCACCAAATAATGCTGAGCAGAGGGCAGAGCCACCTCTTGCAAACATTTGAAAGAAAAAAAGAGTTGTCTACAATTAATTTAGTAACAATCTCTAATATTAAACTAATGAGAAAAATTCTTTTTTCTAACATTCCACATGAGCGAATTCATTGAAATTTTTGAACGATACTTAGGATCGGGGCCAAAGCTGCCGCTAGCCGCCGCTGTCCAAAGTTCACGACGATTGCACAATCGGTTCTAAAAATATGAGTTGCCTAGCGTCCTCCCAAAATTGTTCTTTAAAAAGAAAAAAAAAACTCGTAGCGAAATTTCTAAACTGACAATCGAAAACTCATCTTTTTACCTTGCCAGTTATTTAGGAAAAAATTACTGCAAAAATTATTCTGTTACGCTACGCTGGATTTCTGTTCTCAAAATATTAAACTGTAAAGGTATAGAAATGCATTTTCAAATATCCGTTTAATAATTTTACTACCTGGTTTTAGTTCTGGCAGGAAGCTGGTTAACTAAGTTAAAGGAAAGTTACACACGCTTGCACACACGCACAAACTCTTCATTATTATTATTATTTTATTTTATAACCGTCGCTGAACAGCTGACCCAATTTTAGGGTTTACGACAACTAATGTTCAACTCCTTAGCCCTGTAATTTTGAAACCATTCCGAAAGACAAGGAACTCCTGAATCAAGTATTGGGAGAAATTTGCCTTCGTGGAGGTCTTTTCAATGGGATGGGCATTTGATTTGAGGACATTTGTGTTACATGGAGAGGAAAACCACAAAAACCTCCCACCGTTAGCTTGACGGCAAGGGAACTTGAATCCATGATTCGTCTACAATGAGGATATTTGGTCGATGAGAGACGAGAGAAGAATTCGTATCGACCAGCCATCGCTGGGATCCTAACCCGCTTCACCTCATTGGAAAGCGAATGCTCTATCCCCTGAGCCACCATGACTGTTATTATTGTTATTATTATGGAATACACTAGGAACATTTTTTTCCTCGTTGCATGTTATTTTTTACATTTGTTATATGTATTTGTGTCGCTGATTTCGAATCTGTATACGGTTTCTCTTTACAAGTTTTTATAAAATTTAATATTATAATCATAACCTTTCATATTTTGAAATTTACTCGAGTGAATGCTAAGTGTCCCCACTTCTCTTATGTGTAGGGAGTGGTAGAAAGAAGACGATAATACACTTCAGTCTTTGATGTTATTTGTTAAAGTCATATGTTTTTGTTGTTTTAAGTGTTATTTTCAAAGGACCAGATAAGTTTATTCTTTTTGTTCTTTATAAATTTATACCTTCAGACAAAAATGAACTAAACTATAGAAATCATTTTGAAAGAAAAATCTTTAGCTTTCCTAACAAAACTAATTTCACATTTAAAATTTCCAAACCCGAGTTAAGTAAGATCAAGTACTAATATATATGCAACGAAAAATCTGTTCCCCATTGTTATTATTTATACTTATGTGAAAATAAAATTTACTTACAAGATAGTTGAGGAGGCCCATCTTTGATGCCTATAAAATAAAATGTAGAAAAACAAGAAAGAAAAATAAGTTGAATAAGTTGAGAGGAGAAAAGGAAATATGGACAGGACGTTCTGTAATTCCCGCCTTTAATGCATATTTTAGAATCAATATAGAAATTGAAACAATAAAATATATAAATCTGTGGTCACTAATTGATAGTTAAACGAAGAAATGTGAAAAAAAAATCTGAATTCGACTGTTTCATTGAAAATGTAAAAACCGGTTTGATTGCCGGATGAAACTTGAAGACGAATATTATTATTGAGAGGATTCAAAAATTTGATTTGTGATCGTCTTTCAAATCTATTCAATTCTTTCAGCAATCAAATGGATTTTAATGCTTTTTCATAGTCTTCCTCGATAATGATTCGTTTAATTTTTTAAGCATTTTTGTGTTTTTCATGCTTAAATATCAATTTGCTGTCTCTAAATGTTATTTCATTTTCGGCAATAATTTAGAAATTATGCATTAAAGGCGGTGATTACGAAATATCCAGCATAGATATTTTTAAAAGTAACTTTTATCCCCATTTTATTAGAATATTAAACTTAAACGAAGCGAAAAATTTACATTTTGCATTTATGCACACTTCCCAAACAAGGGTTTATATTTTGTCTACATTATGGGTACGGACATAATTATTGTAATATCATTTTCATAAATGTCAACGTGTACGATCGTCGAGGAAAAAAAATTCTTGTTGATAGCAACATTTATATTTTATCGTATAAATTTTAATGTTAAATTTTACACGACTAGATCTACCACGCCAAATGAATAGCTTAAACACATGTACATAAAGTAAGGAACTACGTTTTTAACTTTTTCAAAACCTTTATTACATATACATGATTACGTTCTTCTTTTTCACGGTATCCTGTATGAAACGAGCCTTTTTGATTCTAGCGGTCCACGATCACACGGACGTGATCTCAATTCGGTACTTTCATAAACGTCTTTAAGTATTTAACTTCTTAACTTCTTAAGTTTTTAGCTTCTTCAAAACCTTTATGACATGTACATGATTACGCTCTTCTTCTTCACGGTATCCTGTATGAAACGAGCCTTTTTGATTCTAGCGGCCCACGATCACACGGACGTGATCTGAATTCGGCACTTTCATATTACATTCCTCATTAACGCACATTAAGATGCAAAAATTCGAAGAAACGCTTCACTACCACCTGTGAACTATTTCCTAACGACCGTACGAGTTGGCAGCTATGCATTTTATACACTCATTCATGCAGCTCTATCCACTCTTCAATTAAAAAAACTGTTTACTCCAGTATTTTCCGGATTTCAAAAGAAAAAAAATAATGTTTGATTATAATAGATCGTAAAAAATTAATACTATCGTTCATACCTTGACGAACATATAGTTATACATATAGTTATATAGTTTGATAACCAGCAAGTTTTGATCGAACGATTCGAAAGTCAACGTTATACGTGTACTTCTTGATTGCTTGAGACATAATAAAATTTTAGATTTTAGAGATATAACTAAAATGAAATAAAATTATTACTTACAAGTTCTTTTGTCTTTACTTGAGTGCAAATGTATACCTACGAAATAAATAAATTTTAAGTTAAAATTTGTGTTGATTATGCGTTTATTTTAGATTAATGAAAATTTGTCTTTCTCTTTCTTTTGTCTGTCTCTAAAAATCTTTTCCTTAAAGGAGGATTTCAGGAAAATTATACATCGTTTAAAAGTGAAATTTTTTTCAGGTGTATTTGTTGACAATTGAGGATTTTTTGCGCAACTTTTTATTTTTCGGTATAATTGTGATTTGGAAGTAATGCCCGTTTTCCAGGCTTAAAAAGAAACTCAATTGCGTGAATGACTAAATTGCTTCCGATAAAAATTATTTACAGTATTAAAGATTATATGATTCAAAAATATTAAAGATTAAAAAAAATCTTCAAAATACAGAAAATTTAGGGGGGTAAAAAGCAACTTTAAATTTGAAATTTGCTCATCTGTCTTTCAAAACTTAACTATCAAAAAGCGTATTGATTTCAACGTAGCTCTCAAAAATGAAATGGAGTAATTCCGTATCAGAAGGAAAATCATAAATTAAAATTTTGCAGGTTTTTTTAATGGATATAAATAAAATTAATTGTATGCATTCAGATTTAGTAGATATTGCAGGCTTATGAGCATTAATAAGCAGTAAAATACTCACAAAATATGTTAACATATATTACATTACATTTATTAATTTCAGGGGTCAGGTGGGGGACAAAACAATGAAGTCGCCGTTTACATTTAAGCAACCTCTTTCAAGTTCACATATTCAGAAATATCATTTCATTTATTTTGAAAAAATGTAATTTTTTGATCAATGCATTAGAATTTTTAAGCAAGCTTTTTACATTCAGGACTTAGACTATGCAATTGCACTTATTCTATTTCTTTTTTAAATGCTAAATTACAATACTTCGAATTAATATTATTTTTATTATTATCATAACACTTTCGCTTGTGCATTTTTGTACCAAACTTCACATGTAGTGAAGGTATAGAACCTGGTGGCTGAGTTGTAGCGCTTCGCGTTGTCGTGCCACAGGTCTTTGGTTCTATCCGAGAGCTGGGCATGGTTGACTCAGCATTTTATCCCTTCACTGGCTCGATAAATAGAGTATCAAGCATGCTTGGGAACTACACGCTGGGGGTTCCGCGTTGGGCTGACCACCCAACTGGAACATCTGTTCTTGCATCCCAGAGCCCAAAAAATCAAGAAAACTGAGATGGGCATAGTAGGTCTTGGCCCTCTATGTGCTGTCACGACACTGAGTTTAGTTTAGGAGCTATAGAACTATTATACAAATGTTAGTTGAATTGTGAGTTTAAAATTTAATTTGGAGGATCACGTATCAAAAAATAAGACACGAAAAATAAAATCACGCATCGAAAAACAGCATTTTGAGTGATTTTTTTAAAACAAACAATATATTGTTTTATTACAAAATATTAGGGATTCCACGCAATTCCAATAATGCCAATATTTCCAATAGGTCAGGTAAATTTGCATATCCTTTCAGCACGTCAAATTTAAGATCTGTGGTTGCATTTCAGCGGGCTGTAGATCGATCAGCATAATTTGTTTTTTATTTCAAGTTTAACAGTTAATAATTCTTGAATTATCGAATCTTTTATTCAATTGAATCTCTTGTACATCTTCCAGCATCGTAATTTTAAGTTCTTAAGTTTCATAGACTATGAGTAGCAAAAATAAAATGTAACGTAAAGAAAAAAAGCAAGAAAAATTTTAAAAAAAGAGCAATTAAAATTACAATTGTTTTTGAATAAATTGGAATTTTTTAAAAAAGATCTTGAGTTAAGTACAGCATGATATATAATATTAATGTATAATGCATGTATAAACAGCATGACCTTTTCAGCTCGTCAAATTTCAACTCAGTATGGTTGCCTTCCTGCAGTCTGTATCGCGAACAACATGGTTTTTTTTTCCCTACAAGTTTAGCAGTTAACAGCTCAAACTAACTATTTTTTAATATTCTATTTTATTCTCTGTAAATTTTTTTAAACATTTTCATGATTTCAAGTCTCTAATTCATATAGTTTTGCGCAGCAAAACAAAATGTAACGTTAAGTTGAGCAACGAAGACATTGCCATCGGCTTTTACGATTTTTTGATCTACATTATTTTTGGCATAAATTATTCAGTTACAAAATATATGAGAGATGAACACGATCTCAGCAAGAATGTATTCTCGATGCGTCTAGATTTCTAACAAAACAACATTTTCTTAAAAACTGGGTTTTCTTTGCTTTTTGAAAAAGTTACGCCTTTTTGTCTATTAGTTTATTTTAATCCCTAAAGACTAAGTTTAATCATAATGTTACACAAAAGATTTAAAATACCTCATACAGTGCTTTACGTGATGTGCACAGGACGCTCCATTGTTTCTCTGCACGCGAATATTGCGTAATTTTTGTAGCACATTGTTCACCGCTTCTTATTATCTGTAAGATAAAGATTTGTAAATATCTCAAACTTTACGAACGCTAAAGAGTAATCTGGTCGGAGAAGTAATTTATTTTTAAAAATAATTTCCCATTTCCTTTTACTAACTCCAATTAAAGGAATGTTAGTATTTAAGCATTTTATTATTTTCTTTTCTTAAACTTTTTTTCATTGACTTTTATTACAATATACAATGCCAAAAAAAGGGGAAAAAAACGAATTACGTTAAATAATTTTTGATTTAGTATTCGGAATCTTCACATATTAGAAATCAATCGCAGAAGATCGAAGAGGAGACCTCACCTCAATTACGATGATAATTTAGTGCATACGATGTTTTAAGTTACGAAATCAAACACAAAAATATACTTTCTCTGAATAAACATACCTTTTTCTTCAACAGTTTTGGTTTCTTCACCCTTAAATTATTTGAAGTAACCTCAATATAGAAAATATTAATCCAATATTTTAGTCAAGAGTGCGGTCAAAAGTACAGATCAAATAAAATTTCACAATACAGATCAATTAATATTAAAGTGCAGATCAATTAATATTCATTTCGTCATATTTCGAGAGTTTTTAAGGCAAATCAAAAAAATAATAAATTTGCAAGCAATTATAAAATTTGTTTATTCAAAGATAATTCCTTGCAAAAAAAATTATATTTTATTATGTTATTTAATAAAAGTTGAAAAGCTTTGAATTGCAAGGGATATGAATTTTTACATCATTTTAGACGAATGAAATTTTAAATGATAAAATACGAAATTCTAGCTCAATCGGTTTAATAGTTTTTGAGTTATCGAACAACTATTATTAAGAACTATTCGACCATTTCGATGAAATTTTGTATTTTGTCATATATAAAATTAAGATTCTTTAAAATATTATAAAAATTTATGTACTTTACAATTCAAAAGTTTTTCTTTACTATTATTAAATAAAATATGAAATTTTATCAAATGATTGTTCTGAAATTTAAAATAATTTTCGTATTAAATTATTTTGGAATAAACGAACTTTATAATTGTGTACAAAATTGTTTTCAATTCACGTAAAAATTTCTCGAGATGTGGCAAAATATGCAAAAATTTTATTCTACTTAATTTATTTCAAAAACAAATAAGTGCATCTTTAAAAAAAAGCATTTTAATATTTCAGTTAAGAAAATAGGAATATGGTAAAAATTATTGTTTGCACTCTTGGCAAATGTTAAAGGTGTGTTCTCTACAAATGATCTTGTTGCATATGCATTTTCTCATTCTGCGTTTCTTAGATGTACGAAAAATACAAATTCAGCGTTTGTTCTCAGCACTAATTAGTCTAATCTTTTCTGGGAGATCTTCAATATTCAAAACTTCTTCAATATTTTTTTTTGATTGAAGTAAACATTAAACTGTTAGACGATGATTACAGCAAATCTCGACATGTAACAAACATACAGCCGTGCATATCACATTCGTATGACTCGTTTCACTTTTTATGAAGGTACTATGCGAAAGCAACGGGAGCATCTTGACTGGTAGAGTTCGGAGCTTTAAAACCCATTGTTTAGTAGTCTACGGTTAAATTGAATAATTTTAAGTGTCAAAATCACCAATTTGGATTACTGTGATTCAACAATAAGGAAAATTAAAAATAAAGAATAGAGAAAAATAAAAATTAAATAATTCGATTTCGCTGAATTTTTTTTTTTTTTTTTTAATATTTATAATTATTTATTTATTTTTCAGAATTTTTGCTTTTAACATTAATTAATTTTCATATTTAAGGCATACCTAACTTTACGTGCTTGCTTTAAGGGTGTATCTGTTATTGATAATATATTTAATTCCATTCTTTAATATTTCCTTTTGATTTATTCATTTTATTGGTTGTACAGTATGAGAGAAGCAATAGACGACCGAGAANTAATATTTATAATTATTAATTTATTTTTCTGAATTTTTGCTTTTAACATTAATTAATTTTCATATAAGGCATACCTAACTTTACGTGCTTGCTTTAAGGGTGTATCTGTTATTGATAATATATTTAATTCCATTCTTTAATATTTCCTTTTAATTTATTCATTTTATTGGTTGTACAGTATGAGAGAAGCAATAGACGACCGAGAAAATTTTTTTTTCTGATGACCGGATCTTCACGTTCTAGGACTCAATCACGTTCTAGGGTTCAAGGGAATGACCTCAAATATGATAATTTATTAATGCGGACGATATTTTAAGTTATGAAATCAGGCATAAAAACGTGCTTTCTCTGAATAAACATTCCTTTTTTCGACGGATTCCGATTTCTTAAACCCAATATATAGGGGGCAGTAGCAATCTAGAAAATATGGTCCCCGTAATTTGGTCAACAGTTTTCCGAAATTTGAACTCCTTAATGTTATTTTTTCCTTTTGCGTATGTCGACATATCTCGGGAACTTTTAAGCAAATTGAAAAAAAATTTGCACACAATTATAAAATTCGTTTATCCAAAGAAGATGGGTCCGACTATAAACCGGTGTGACGTATGGGTGTGGCAAAAATCGAATTCTTGACCATAGATTGAGCCACTGGAAAATAATTACAATTGCGGTCCTTGCTTTAATGGCCAACAACATCAACATCCAAAGATAATTCCATGAAGAAAAAAATTTCAATAAGTAATTAATAATTTTTACTATTTTATTAAATAGCAGTCGAAAAATTTATGAATTGTAAGTTATACAATTTTTTACGTCATTTTAAATTGTGTCATTTAACAGGGCAAAATACAAAATTTGAGTGAAATCGGTTAAATAGTTCCTGAGAAATTGAATAAGAGAATAATATAAAAAAAGTCGTATATTTAAAATTATATCTCTCAGGAACTATTCAACCGATTTCGCTCAAATTTTGTATTTTGTCATGTTTTGTATTTTGTCATGGTTGCTTTAAAATTACGTAAAAAATTGTATACCTTACAATTCAAAATTTTTTTGATTATTATTATATAAAATAATAAATAATAATAAATAATTACTGAAATTGATTTTTTGCGTGAGTTAACTTTGAATGAACCAATTTTATAATTGTGTGCAAATATTTTTCAATTTGCTTAAAAAGTTCTCGAGATATGGCGAAATACACAATAAGCAAAATTAACATTAAGGGGATCAAACTTTCAACTGCTCTCCAGATCAAACTATGTTGACCTTATCTCACAGATTGCTGCTACTCCCTATATTTGGGGGAGGGGGAGTAGAAATCCGAATCCATTAAAGGAAAGTTAAATTTACACTGAGAACGTACGTTTTTGCGTCTTATTTCGTAACTTGAAATATCGTCTGCATTAATGAATTAGAATATTCGAGATCAACCCCTCAAACCATTAAAATTGAGTATCAGAACGTGATGATCCGATCATTAGATCAAAAGTAATTCAGGGTGGTCCATTTTTTTAGGGGAGGGGCGAGCTGTAGATATATGCACTTTGCGCATTTCCATTTCGTGCAACGTGCGAAAACTGTAGTTCCTTCATTGATATTAATCATAATCATCCATGTATTAAATCAATTGAGCGTAAATATAAAAAAATATATATACCTGCTTCGGAAGTTTAAGATGACACTTTCGGTACATTTTTGATAATTCCTCTGTCTTAGCAGCTATGAAAAAGAAATTATGAGACATTTTTTAATACAATGAATTACTTTAATTTAGCTCGAAGACAATATTTCAATAAATAGGTGATTTAACTTTTGAAAATAATTTAACCTATTTTGCTAACAAATAAAATAATCACAATAATCACAAAATCAGTATTTTTTATTCAATTACAATAATTTTCTGTAGATGGAACGTCAAGCTACCAAAGCGGGGGAGTCAACCCCTCTGCAGAGGATCAAAATTGCGATGGCATGTCTTCGGATCATCTTCAGGGATGTTTCTCAGAACGTCGCCAACACCCCATTGTGCAGCTCTAGTGTGACGTAAATAAAGTACTACTGCTACAAATACATTCGGATTACGCAGAGAAATAATCCTGCAATAATTTGTTTTGTTTTTATTATTTTTAATAAAGATGTTCTACATTCGAAACTTCGTGGCTTACATTAGGCTTTTCTGACCTTTTTTTTTCTCTAAACTGTAAATGTTGAAATACCAATGGAGATAAAAGGGAATTCACCACGGAAAGTTTGTCCTTTCGTATACTGTCCTCTTAAGATCAATGTTTGAATAAATTTAAAAATATTAGCTCTGATTAGCAATAAAAAAAAATCAACGTCAAAACTATTCGAAGTTGAGATTTTTATATATTTGGCATTTTTGCATGATAAGCTACCTATTGCAAAAGAATTTTTTTTTTCAAACTTGAATTTTGTCTCACAAGTTTTTTGAAATTATATTTTAGTAATAGAAAGAAAATAGTTATCAAGCTAATTTTCTCCATTTCTGTATAGTTTTTGCATCGATCTTTCAATTTTGTACGGCAGAGCTAAGGTTAATCAATTTTGTCTTAACCCCTATGATTCGATGAAACTTCGAAATTCAACAATGATTATTTAAAACAAAAGAGGAATGGGATACCTGCAAGTTACGTAGTATGGTTATCTCAATCCTGATTGGTTGCTGAAAAGTAGCATTTGTTTATATTTACAACTGTTCTTTCTGTTCTATTTCGAGTAAGCCAAACCCGCCAAGATTCAATTCTCTTCTGTGACTCATTCTACATGCTTTCACAAAAATTTCAATTCTTTCACTACTTGTTTCTTACTTAGACTGGCTTAAAGTCATGTAGATAAACAAATTAATTAAGAATCGAAGTTACCAGGTAGACAAGGCAAAAATATATCACTGTTACAATAAAGCAAATAATAAGCAAATAATAAAGCAAATAATAAAGCAAATAACAAATCGAAGTTAAGTAAAAGACGTAGACGTGACGGAATTATATTTCACCAAATTTTATGTGCGATGTGCAACTCTATTAAATTAACTTCACGTTTATTAATATTCTAATTTTAGTGGAGAAACTTGGCTCAACTTTGACACGCCCTTTTGCTTATAAATGATCAGCAAGCTCTGACGTCATAGGTTTCACGTGTGGGTATTTGTGGTCTTCTTCTTCATGAAGGGAAAGTACCCAATTAAATAAAAGACTTTTTAATTGTAAATTGTTGTATTCCATTTTCAAATGAAAATTTTAAAGAAAGTTAATGACTATTAGCTTTTAGTTATAATCAGTGTATAATTTGTGCATCCATAATAAAAGATCAAAGTAAATTTGAGCGTTTATTTGCTTACAGTTTGTGGCATGTGATTCTTATTTATTTTTATTTTAAAATTGGTATTTTGAATTATTTTTCTTTTTTTTAAATTTACTTTATGAAGAAATTTAATAACTAGTAATAACTCCTTTTAATTACTAATAAACTCCTTTTTAATTCATTATTTGATGAATTTTTTTAGCCAGTTTCCATCATTTGAAAGAATGTATATAAACACAAAACGCATCTAAACAATAGGTATAATGATCAAAAACATGAGTTAACTTTTCCTTTTTCCTAAACTGCAAAGATACATAAAATTAAAATTGCTGGCTGTTTGACGATAATTTCAATTTCAATTTTTTTTTATTTTACTGTTTTTGTAACAAACTGTTTTGTACTGTTTTGCAACAAAGCAAAGAAAAATCTGGGCAAATAAAGAACGGACATTAGGTAACTTGCTTTCACTAAATTTAAAAATAAAATAATTATTAAATTAAAAATCTCGAAAAATTTTCTCTATAGTTCAATACAAATAGCATAAAAATAACTTTCAATTAAATTGTTTTTTTACTTACAGCACATAACACATTGTAAAACATCTAAAAATGATTCAACAAATGAAAATCTTGAATTGAACAATAGAAATAGCACAATATAAAGATTCATTTTCAAATGTTCTATTTTACGGAAACATACATTCATAGCAATAAGTAGGAAAGGAAACTCTTCATTATTTTTTTAACGAAAACAATGTTGTTTATTGTTATTAAGAGCTAATTGTTTTATTTAGCTTCTGATTTGTTTTTCTTTTATTTCTATGAAAAATGCAAGGTAATCATCTGAGAAATATATATTCAGGGTGCTTAAACAAAAGGTTTCATATTTATTTATTTAAAAAACAATTTTCTCGGAAATGCTGAGTTATTTCTTGTTTTAAATTAAGTAGTTATTAATGGAATACAACATATATTTATTTATAAATATTTTTATTGGTACACATACAAAGAGGCATGTGTGCTCCATAAATACTGTTTGTAAGCTTTTGTGAAGGTTGTTGTAGTTAATTTACGTTGCACTAGAGCTGCACAATGGGCTATTGGCGACGGTCTGGGAAACATCCCTGAGAATGATCTGAAGACTACTTTGTGAAGGAAAAAAAACAAATAGTATAGTACAATTCAGAGAAGGACAGCACGAAAATACATCCAGGTCTTCGGTAGGATTTGAACCCGCATCCTCCGCATTAATGAGTGTTTTGCGGGCGTTACCACTCAGCCCGGAAGGACTGCAGTCACTGCAAAATGGCGATGAATGTTTACCATTTTTAAGCAATTGCCTTTCTTTTAAGTGGCGTAGATAGCCTGACTGTTAGGGCCCATGTCCGAAAGGTCGTGAATTCGATCACCGTTTACAGGATGGTGACTGGTGCACGTTTCATCTGTCGAGTTCACAAAGCTCTCCCATAACAAATCAAAACCTCTGGGGGGTACCGAATCGGAAATTGATCCTGCTTTGGTTCAGGTCGAAATTACGAATTGCGAATTGATGGTGTCCCGCAGTGGACTGATCGTTAAGACACGGTTCCCAGCAGATCACCAAAGTCAAGCATCACTGCCTACGGTCAGTGTGCGGGTGGGTGACCACTTGGATCAGTCTGCGTAGGGACCGAGGGTGTGCGGCATTGGTCCTCGTTCAACTGTGCTACCGTAAAGTGCTCGACTTCGCGCAGATCGTCGGGCGGGGGTGCCATCCCCTCCGCAGAGGATCATAATTGTGATGGCATGTCTTCGAATCATCCTCCGGGATGTTTCCCAGACCGTCGCCAATAGCCCATTGTCAGCTCTAGTGCGATGTAAATTAACAACAACAACAACAACAATTGATGGTGTGAGTCGTAATGATTGACGTGCGTTGTAAAGATACATCCCGGGTTACGGGGGGATCCGAACCCGCTACCTTCACGTTACAGAATGTTTGGTGAGATAGTTAGACCACTTGGATAGTGAGGCTCTATATATCTATTCACTATATCCATTTTAAAAGAAGTAGGCAGGCGGAAACGTGTCCCTTCAAAGAAACACAAATAGATCATAAAGAAAAACATACGAAGTAAGAATGGTTGAAATTTCCTGCCGATGTAAACTTTGGGGATATGTTTTATTAATAATAGTTGTGTTTGTACAAACCATCTCTATAATCAGCCTCTACATGAACCACACTGTTTTCGGTACCTCCTTAGTTCTGTTAAGTTTCGTACTCTTCTTCTTGTATGGTTTTGTAACACAGAAATGCGATCGGCGAAAACAGTACATTCCCATATACGATCAAACTCCCCTGGATGAATCTGTACCAATCTAGACTCAACATTTTTATATCCAAGGTAAATACGCATCCTTGCATCTCAGTTCCTACTTTATTTATTTTACTCATTTTAAATTTGACAGTCCTCTTTAGTAGTACGTCTTTTCTAAACCTCATTCACAGTACAAAACTTCTGAAACTAAGTGAACTAATTTAGGCAATTCAAATAATTTACAAGTTTCTTTTTTTTTCCATCTGATAATAATATTTATCTTAGAAACGTTGAGATAAGTAATTTATGTCTGGTGCTGTTAGGCATTTAAAAAAAGGATACAACAATTTCTGAGAAAAGAAATGCATAGAGAATCAGCTTTGTTAATTGCATAAATAGTAAAGTAATGCAAGCAAAACATTGCTCTTCTTAATAAAGTTTCATTTAATTAGTTACAGTTGACGAAAGCCAAAGTCTTGATACTTAGTTTTAAGAAAAATTTAACTTTAAATCTTATTTATTTAAACAACATTGGCGATTCAAAATTTAAAACATCTACTAATGACAGCGGAAATATATATACCAGGCTCACTCGCTACAATTTAACAAAGAAAAATCTATTTTTCGCATCAAAAAAAAATTACATGCCTTAATTATTTTAAGAAGCTGTGATTAAAGTGTTCAGAAATTTTATTATTTATTTAATTAAAAACTTGTATATACTTTAAATTCCGGCAGGATTTAACTATGCATTACTTTACTAAATTATAGCATATGTGCAGATATATATATATATATATAAAGAGAATAAGTTTCTTATCCATGAATATTTTTATATAAAAAAAAAAGCAAAGTTAACCGAGTGGTAATTATAAGCTTTCTAAATTGCCTTTATTGTCCAACAAAAATTACATTTAAGAAAAATCTGTCAAAAAATCTGTATCTTCTGCCAATTATTAGCTGATCAAATTTTGTATTTAAGTAAATAATACTATTTCTGAAAGATTTGATAAGGATTTTCTAATTTTTTTAAGAAATGTGACCATTATAGCGAGAGAAAAAGTATTATTATGATTGGTATTATTTTTACCCGTATTATTTTTTGGTTTTTTATTATTTTTTAAAATCATTTTTTGGATTAAAGTTTTTTTGTATACCCGTAGATGACGCACAAAAAATTAAGTTTCTAGCATCAAAACTAAAAATGATTATTTTAAAGTTCCACAATTTCTATTACGCTAAAGTTTTTTTTAATAGTTACATTTAAGAACTCAAATGGAGATAAAAAAAATATATATGTTTTAGTATGAATAAAGAGTAAAAAAGGATGAGACCAAAAAAAAGCAAATCAAATTTTGTATTGAGATAAATCTAAATTAACAGCTGTCATTTATCATATTTTTCTTCTCAGATAACATAAGTAGTAGTGTTTGTAGGATCACTTTCGTTCAATCACGGCAAAATCAGGTTCATAATCTAAAAAATTCCAGGTATTAATTTCTTTTAAATTAAAAGTAATGAGGAGAATTATAGCTTTGTTTTTGTTCGCTGCTGCAGTCAGTTCTACGAAGCCAGGATGTCCTATAAGTTTAGATATTAAACCATGCGTTTGCACAAATAGCCCATTTACATATTTGCAATGCCAGCATTTGGATGATGCCGAAACCCTCAGAAGCGTTTTTGAGAACTCTACTCACTACAAATACCAAGAAGTAAGTTCAGAAATGCTTGTTCTTTAATTTCTTATTTTTTATTCGAAAATTCTATTTGATTTGTGCAGAGAGTATTTCGTTTCGTTTTGTATAAAAAGAAACTTTGGGAATAATTTGAAAAAATCCATATTTAATGCATTCCATGCAAAATATGTGTTGGAATTACTGTGCACATCCACCATATTTACCTGATCTGGCACCCAGTAGCATCCATCACTTTTTTAAGCCTTTAAAGTTTAGGAGAAAAAAGATTTTGTAGCAATGAAAAAATAGAAATTGCTGTTTGTACAAAGCTCTTTTGAGAACTGTGACAAAACATTTTAGATAGGTGGCATTAAAGCTTTCTCGGTTACGTTTTCTTTCGTATTTGAATATTAACCCTCAGAAGGGGTTGTCTTCTGAGTTGGAATTAAAATTATAAGAAGTCCCACAGTCGGGTAAAAACACGGTTCCCAGTAGAACACCGAAGTCACACTTACTTGCTGCGGTCCATAAGCGGATGCTTGACCTCTTTAATCTGCCTATGTAGAGACCGAGAATACGCGGTATCGGCCCTCGTTAAAGTGTTCTAATGTAAAGTGCTCCATTTCGTGCGTAGGTCGTCGGGATATTAAAGCTGGAGAGCCATCCTCTCTGCAGAGGGTTAGAGTCCCCCTGCCTTCAGGTTAACCATGGGAGGTTTTCAAGGTTTTCCTCTGTATATAACACAAGTTCGGATTCGTTCCATCAAAAACTCCTCCCCGAAGGCAAATTTCTCCCAATATTTGATCCAGGAGAGTTCCCTTGTCTTCCGGAATGGATTCAAAATTATAAAACTACTGAATTGAACACTGGTAGTCGAAAACCCGTAATCGGGTCGGTTGTTCAACGACGAGTTATAAGAAAAAATATGAATTCATAAATGTCCTTTAAATAATTCATGAATTCACATTTAAATCATTATATTCGTTGTATGCAATTCTTGTTAACTACGCTATAACGTCTAGCCCTATACAATCATATCATATTTCAGTAGTTTCGTACTAATACGAAAGGCGCAGAATAATTTAAAGCTTTTTCCAAAAGTAGTTAGAAATAATGACGCTCTCTCTGGCTACTACTATTCATTTTTTTTCAAGTTTCAATGGGTCTGCTTTAGAGTTTTTGATAACATAAATTTAATTAAGAATCTTAATACTCAAAATAAAATTCCAAAATTGTTCTGTAACACATCTGAAACAATAAAAATTCGTATGTGTTTTTATTCAGGTGCACATTGAATTCTCCACAATGCCATTCCTCCCTTCTGAGATATTTGAAAAGGTTCCAATCGATGAGTTGCATTTGAAGAATGTGACATTAGCTCAACTTTTCGACAGACCGCCAAGTAATTTAAAAGGATTGGACAAATTACACATAGAAAACACTAGAATCAACAGGTATCAAGTTTATTACTTCAGTTTGGATGCCTATTTCTTACCATATTCGGCAGACAAGTACTTAGAAGTAAAAAGTTTTAATGTCCAAATCATAGCAATAAATTTTTGTAATAGTTTCATCTTTAAATACACTTTTAACAGACAGTTTATCGTCTAAAACCAAAGCTTTAAATAATAGCAGAAAATGTCATTTTTTACTTGAAAATATCTCTTAGAAGAAAGTGTGCTCACAAGTGCAATAAAGTATTTTTTTTTTTCAAAAAAAAGGAAAAAAGAATTAAACTAACTAAGCTAAATTAGCTTTATTCTTAACCCTTTCGCGCCAACTGAAACGTATACGTAACAACATGAAACGTTTTCATTTCCCAGCCGACACACTGGCGTGACGTAGTGATTTTTTCTTTAATCCGGATCGTCACATATTTGTGACAGTACTCTGGAACATTTTAATAAATATGATTTTGGGCTCAAATCTTATGACATTGCATGTTCATAGGATTTGAGATGCTTGTAGATTTAACCTTCTACTCTAAATAAGAAACATATGAGACCTGTGGTTTTTGA